GGGGTAATGGCTTTAAACTTAAACAGGGGAAGTTCAGATTAGATCTAAGGAAGAAGTTCTTTACAGTGAGGGTGGTGAGGCACTGGAATAGGTTGCCCAAGGAAGCTGTGAATGCTCCAACCCTGGCCATGTTCAAGGCCAGATTGGACAGGGCCTTAGGTGATATAGTTTAGTGTGTGGTGACACTGCCCATGGCAGGGGGGTTGGAATTTGATGATCTTAAGGTCCTTTCCAACCCTAATTATTCTATGATTCTATGTTTCTATGTAATGGTACGACAAAGGGTAAGACCAGTGAGGGTTCTGACGTAGTAGTACAGGTTGCCCAGGGAAGTTGTGGCTGCCTCATCCCTGGAAGTGTTTAAGGCTGGGTTGGGTGGGGCTTGGAGCAACCTGGGCTAGTGGAAGGTGTCCTTACCCACGGCAGGAGGGGTTGGAACTAGGTGATCTTTAAGGTTCCTTCCAACAGAAACCATTCTATGATGTTATGATTCCAATAACTTTTGAGGAAAGTAAAATATACTTTAAATTTTCAGCAGCACCAAATCTTCCTCTAAAAATGAGTTTTTCCAATGTGAAAGATATTAAAGATCTTGAGCTTTTTAGTTCAGGTTATGTTTTTTACAAAATTAACAAAATGGTAATTGTAAATAGGTGAATTTCATTTTGATCATTACTACAGGGATACAGACACCTTTCAATGAGTCTTCACTAGACAAAATATTTCATCATAGCATAACTTTTTTTAAAAAAATAGCTCTAATAAGTTTTTGCTTATATTACCTTATCCCTAACTGTTGACACCAAAATCTAATCACAGAACTTTTTTCAAATATAGTATATGAATAATAGTATTCTGTGGTCTTTGTGTATGATTTCACAGTAATTTTTTTTTCTCTGACAGTAAAAAAAGAAAAGTGGTGTGTTCGTAACACTTTATTGCAAATGAGAGAGAGAATTGTGAAATTATTTTTAATGGAATCCACTTGATCATTTTTTAGGAAATACTTTCCTATTATTACATTGTATTTCAATGAGTCTGAAGCTTCTACCTTGATTGTGACCCAGTGTCTAATTAAATTGAAGACAACAAATGTCTTTCAGTGAGATTAGGGTTATTAGTTTTTTAAGTGCCTTCATGAGATTTTGAACTATGTTTTAGAAAATCCTGCTGTGTTCCACTTACCTAAAATCTTGCCAAGTGTGAGAGACTTAATTGCATTGAATTCTGTGCCTGAAGTCAGAACAAACTTCATTCTTTCATTCTGGTTAACCTGTAGGATGGTTCAGCGAAGAGCAAAGCAGAATAATGGAGGAGATATTAGTCAAAGTTTGCGAAAAAGCAGATATAATCAATGTTAAAAACAAAAGGAGCTAAGGGCAGCATTTTTTGGTTATAGCGTAAAAACTATTCTGGAAATAGATGAGCAGCTTCATCAGATCACTGATTATAGCTGTGATACTTCTTAAGCATCCCACTTAATAAACCTTTATTTATCTTATTAGTTTGCCTGATTCTTTCTTTTTCATCTATGAGATGAATAAATGTGGTTAACCTCCAAAAACATGAAAAAGGTTCTTTTCATTAAAAAAAGCATTCAACATCTAGTTCATAAATATCAAATATTATACTGTAAATTCTCTGCCCCCAGGGTGCCTGTAGAACTATTTCCCTTCAAGCCTTGTACCAGTGCATAATTAAGCAAACCCAGGCCTAATCTCAAAATACTAACTTGAAACATCTAGGTTTTTAAAATTATAATATTAAAAAATAAGATTTCTTTACATGTTAGTATCTAGTATTAGCAAATCAAATCTTCCTATTTTATCACAAAATTTCCACAAAACATAATAAAAATCTTTTCCTTCATAGTCACATTGCTTAGATATGAAAGGGTCCGAAGAAAATAAGACAAATAATAGGCTTAAATTATTATCTAGATGGTAATTGTAATGTATTTTAGTATGTAATTTGAAACAGAAACCAGAATGCAAGACCCAAAAAAACCATCAGTTGTCATACACATTTCATAAATATTGAAAAATTAACCATAAAACAATTAATTGAATTTTCATATAAAATTGTGATATATTGACCTTTTGAAATAGACAAAATGAACAACAAAGGGACTGTCTAATGTAAATTTTCACCGTGAGTTGTAAGTCTGCTATCCTTTGCTTTATTTACTTGAGATACAAAAGTACAGTTTATCTGGGGTAATTTCTTTGTAACTATTTAGTTAATTTTGCTTTAGATATTCTACTTTTTTTAAGATAACCCACTTTTTGGTTTGGTTTGTTTTTTATCTAACTGAATTACCTCTACAAAGAGCATTTCCTCCTCTCTATCAATCTTCACGTGTTGCAGCTGTCCATCAGCCATGCTTTTGAGATTGATGCTGAATATATCAGGGTTTTGATGGCTATCTAGCTTGTACCTGATCTGTAAACTTCCTGCAGAGTTAAGTAGAGTAAAAAGATTAGTACACTGCATACACAACAGATAGTGCAGTTCATATACAATGCCTCCTGCTTCACGGGAAGAACAAAACAATGTTTGATTTATTTAAAGAATTAACTGTGAGAAATCTACCAAAGTGAGAAATTAAAAAAGGCAACAGGAAAAGTAATAGTAATGTTGGAGGTAGGATGTATTTGCAAAGAAAGCCATAAACTGTCACAATTCTCCAAAATTAGTTAATTTGTGCAGAGATTTAGTAAGTGCTTTTATAATTCAGCTGAGAAAGGATTGGTCTGGTAACTCAACTTAATGTGACTTATCAAATGAAATTCAGTATCTTAGAAGTACCGTTCTTGAATAATATTTACACTGTCTGGACCTGTAAACTTCTGACCATTTGCCAATTCACTTGGATGCAGTCAATAACTTCTAGCTCACTTTCCATTTCTTGTTAACACCCAGTGTACTGTCTGTACATATAGACTCTGCCACAACACAGGCAGAGCATAGTTTCCATGTCAGACATTTCCTCCCAGCTGTAGATTAGATAGACTACAACTTTCTACTCAACTTTTGGAAAACAAGACTCAGACCATACTGAAGACCAAGGCCAGTCAGGAGTAAAACGTGTTCCACCTCACATGATGGGTAGGGTGCTACAGTTATTCTACATCCAAACCTGTGTCTGGGAAAGCACAGAACCTCCTTTGAGCACAGAACCACTGTGAATGCAGAGCCTCTGATAAACCCAAAGATTCAACTCAGTCTGGGGGGGGGTGGGGTTAATTAAACAAAAAATGTAATAAAAAGATCTAGACATAGAAGAAAGAATGAAAAAGAAAAATGTGACTGACACCTGATGTTCAGCATAAATTGAAACATCATGTTATGTGTATTTTCACAGGAGTATATATATGTACAGTCATAGGTATATAAGCAGGTTATGAAACTAGTAGAATGTAATGACCTCCATTTAATTTGGAAATGGATTTCCAATTACTTTAAAAAAGTAATTTATTTCATTATTTATCATGAGAATGGCAATTAATATGGTGAGTGAGTAGCAGACAAATCATATACCTTTTGAATTTCATTTAAAAACTTTTAAAAAATATTCTACTTCATTTTTAGAGAATTTCCAGAAATAGCTATTTCTGCCAGCATGATAAAAAAAAACCAGCAAAAATTGAAACTACAGTAGAAGGAATGTTTTTCATGTGGAAAATACTGCTTAGTGCAGCTGAAAAATAAATATACCATTTAAAGCAACAACAGGACAATGCTTAGTTTGTGATTCAGGTCTGGGAATCAGAGTTGGCAGCTGTGATGTTTATTAGTGTTTCCAGATGACCTATCTGAACACTCACCGTTTTTGGTGAGAATGACTGAGAGGTATTCCTTGTAGAAGGTGCTGACATAAAGCAGTAAGCTTGGTGTCCGTGTTGTTCGAAAGGCAAACGTAATTGCTTCTTTGTTCAGTGTCATATCAGCATAGAAAGAAGAAGCATGAGAACTCGAATTTTTAGCTAAGGTGTAGTATTCTTGAAACTTGTATGTCACAGAGGAGCCAGTCCCAAAATATGCAGAGATCTCTGAAACAAAAAGTAATTTTTAAATATGCACAAGACTACAGCTCTTTTCTATTTATTTCTTCTACAGAACACGATAAAATGTATTCTCAATGATTGTAATACAGCTGAAAAGAAAATATAAATGGAACTAATATTTAGAACTATAGTGAAAAATAAGACTCAACATGGGTACAGCAAAGACCAGTTAGGTAAGTGTTTTAAATATCTGTTGCATGAAGTGCTTGTTTTTGTCTAGTTTTAGGCATGCTTTGTGTTTTGGGTTTTTTTTGTTTTTTTTCCTATTTATCCATGTCCTTAGCCCAATATGTCTTCTCCAGTATGTATTATTCCTATAGGCTATCCCACACTTTCACATTTTACCCCTGTAAGAATAATAGAGTGTGACCATTAGTCTCTTCAGCATTTTGCGGGGGAGGAGGAAAGGATCATTCCTCACTCAATGACATTAGCTCCACAGGGAAGCTAAGGTATGGAAGGACTTCACATGAGCCCTTCATACCTTTGGAGGCAGTGGTGGCTGGACAGACGTTACACTCACTAATTTAGAGGAACACGGAGTTACATTTAAGCCACCAGGTATTGTACATAATCCCTTTAATACACTGAGGAAGCAAGTAATTTTTAACAGATTGGAATTATATTCAAATACAAGAAGTTCTAAACTTACATTCTTAAAATTCAAATTTGACAGCTTATGGTCATAGAACCATAGAATGATTTGGATTGGAAGGGACTTAAAGATCATCTAGTTCCAAACCCACTGCCATGGGCAGGGACACCTTCCACTAGCTGGTCTCCATGATGCTAATTAGATCATTTACCAATATGATATCACTACAAAAGAATTCTTTTAAAATGTCTGAAAAAATACTCAGTCCTGTTTCCAATGTTTTTACTTTGTTCTCACAGTAAGAAGAATTTTACCTTCCGCTTCTCAGTTTGTTTTCCAAATTTAGTTTTGAGATTAATATTTACAAGACAGAAATTTAAAAAATTATTCATATAGTTCCTAACTTATTGTAATATTAAAGAATCAAGGGAGTTGTATAACATTAAACGAAGATGCTAATCTCAGTTGATGTGATCTGCTTTAAGTAGTACATGTTGAACACATCTCTGGAAGACAGCGTTTAGCAAAACTTAGATTTACTGAACAAAATAAGCTAAATATTGCTCTACATTAAGTAACACAAATATTTTACAAGCATTTAAGCATCTCTTTAAATTGCTGTATAGATCTTGCTCTGAACTGTAAGGTCCTATTTCGATAACTGACAAAGCTAAAAGACATGCTTGCCTTTCTTACAGAACGGCCCAGCATAGGCAGAGAAAGTGCAGTCACAGGAGAATCCACTGTATTTCTCTTTACATTTTCCACCATTGTGACACAGTTTACCATAGCTGCTGCAGTGTCCTGGACAGCCTGGTTCAACTCCTGGTGTTATCTTTGCTCTCTCTTCCAGGTCAAGGGCCATTCCATTCAACTGTAATGAACGAATGCATCCCAAAAATCCTTTCTGCCTGGATGCTGTCCCACCTGGAATAAATTCATATGATCTTTTAGAAACTTAAATGCATTGATGTGCAAATACCTCTTTATACTTTACAGCCCCTGAATAGTATATTGTGAATTCCCAAGGTACAAGCTTATCTATATGTAAATACTTATAAATAGCTTTAAAAGCATATTTTTTTTCTTTTTTGTAAAGTAATTACAGAAAATATTTGAAGATTTAATGGGAAACAAGGATTTTGTACAGTAAGATACCAAGCAATGACACATACTTCTATTAATTGACAAAAGATTAACATGCAGAAGTTGGAGAGGAGAAGAGAGAAGAGAGAAGAGAGAAAGAGAAGAGGAAAAGAGAGAGGAGAGGAGAGGAGACTTTTGGTTTAATTTAGTTTTCATCCTTTCCTATTTGAGGAGAAGAGAGAAGAGAGGAGAGGAGAAGAGAAGAGAAAAGAAGAGAGGAGAGGAGAGGAGAGGAGAGGAGACTTTTGGTTTAATTTAGTTTTCATCCTTTCCTATTTTAAGATTTGTAAAATTCTTGGTATTACATGGAAAATCTTGATATAGTTGTTCTTATTAACAGATACAATAGCACGAAACAACCTAAAAATATGAAGATTTGATGTTATCTCTGCTAAAATAAGCATTTTGGTGGCAGCTTCAGGCTTTTATTCTGGCTTCTTTGGAAAAACAGAGCATACACATCCAAGAAATACAGTGTTTTAACCTGAAGAAATGTCATTCCTAATATGTTAGTGACTGGCTGATGCATGATACGGCAGGTACTAGGTATCTAAAGTATGCTGTATGAGACAAAATTTAAGTAAAGTACCTCTGCTAATGTCATTCTTAGGACACTGTGTATTTTGTTTTTCTTTAAATCCTTTCACTGACTTGAGCAGACAATCCTGAGTCTGTACGAGTAGACTCAGAAAAAATAGTAAACCAGTAAGTCTTATTACTCCCACCACTGAAGAAAATTATATTTAATTGAAGAAATGAAAATATCTTATAAATAGTTGGGAGTTGTAAAAAGTTGCATTATCCGAAAGACTTGTTTAACTCAAACACAAAATAAACTACACACCATATTGCTCTACATGACAGTATTGCAGTTAGTTGCAAAAACAGATTACCCCAACAACCCTTGCTGCAGTCATAGCAAATCCTCAGAAATTATGTTCAGGAAATGCATGACACAAACTTTCCGAATGAATCACCATTATTTGTCATGCCACACTTCAAAAGCACTGTTTTAACTGAATAAAATTAAACAAATGCCATTTTTTTTGTCAGTTCTGCTGCAAATTATTTCAAAATAATTGTACATAAGGGATTTCAAGGTACACAGTACTATAGAAATAGTTATTTCATTTTACTCCTGGGGTCTTCAAAATTTTTCAGAGAGGAAAAAGACCCACAAACCCAAAAGCAAAACAGAAGCACTCTTCTGATACAATTATTCACCTGAACATTATATGAGAAAACAAGCTATAAAGCATGCTTGTAAATACATCAAAACGATTTTTAAATTTTCAGCTCAATACAGGCTAATGCACTAAATCTGCAATCTCAAAATGCATTTCTATTTCCATGGATTTTTCACAAAGACTCTCATTTCATCATAAACTCTTTTCAAAAGGTCCAGTTGCCACTTTTCATCTTTTTTTTTTTTTTTTTTAATGATAACTAAGAAAGATTCTGTTAAATGAGTGCCTACCTACAAAAAGCTGGCTGTTCAGCTGCAAGCGAATATGCCCATCAGGTGGAGCAGTGTGAAACCTTTGAGGAAACTGATCTACTTGTAAGGATGCTTCTTTGACGTTTCGTTCAGCCTTCACATAATGCCACTGGTTGTCGTTTAAGGAAGTGAGTGATTGCACTGTAACTTCACTAGGTCCATTTCCAACATCAAATGAAAAAAGCACTTCAGATGGAGCTAGAAAGAGGTCAGTAATAAAGGATATTTAAATCATTTCATAGTTAATTGTTTCATAAAATCACAAAGTGGCAGAATAAGTTACTTTAAGGAGTAGCCTACTATTTACTGGAGTAAGACTGATTGTTTTAGGGGAAAAGTTTACTTCAGGAGGCCTATCCTCAAAGTTCATTCTTCACACACATTCACAGTGAGAACAATGATTCATTCACAGCATGAAAATCAAACCTTTTGTGGACACTTGGAAAGCATAGTAGTTAAGAAACAGTAAAATGTGCTAGCTTCATTATTTTTCAGTTTGGATAAATAGCATCTCTTGACTACACGCTAATTGGTTATCATCATTAACTATATTCAAATCATCACCACTATAATCCAATTGACATCTTCTACTGTCTATTTGCATTAGTTTTAATCACAGAATCTATACAAATATCAGACTGTTAATTTTGATGCAATTTCTAAGGCTATGTATAAGGTGAATTAAATTGAGTAATTTCTTAAGCAATATTTAACATTACATGGTCTCATAGTTGGCTAAAAATCATAACTAACTCTTTGCAGGTCAAAGTAGATAGATGAATTCGGAGATTCCATTCTATTCTCCCTGAAACAGTTTCTTTCACATATTCAAAGACATTCATGTATGAAAATAGGTAATCCCTAAAGAAGGAATTACCATAATTTTTAATTACTGAGGATTTGATTAAACGACTAGAGGTATGAGAAGATTGTGTGAATCTAGAAGAAAGGTTCCCATTTATGTCATTGAGCTCTGAGAGAAAAGCAAACCAATTCGGAGTGGTCAAGGGAAATAAATCAGCTTCAAATGACATTTTCAAAGATGCATTTGCTGATTTAAAAAAAAAAATAAATAAAAAAATCAATGGGTTGGGTTGGTTTTGGGTTTTTTTTTTTCACTTTTAAAAGTTACCTTAGACCTTTTATAACATTTAGATCCACTTCGGCCAACCTTTAGACTGAGTAATGCCATACACTTGCAGTCCCTTAAACACTGAATCTCATTGTTATAAAGTATTTTTCTGTAACAGTTGAACCTGAGACACAAATGTAAAATGACAAGTACACCAAGCATTTGGCTTACTAAATAAGATAGGCCATAATGTAAGATCAATTTTTAAACAGAATGCCTTTTATAATAAATGACCTTTTCTTCGTAAAATAAATATCAAGTGTTTTATACAATAATAAGAAATAGATTGTATCTAAAAATAGTTCCTTAGTAAAATAAGTTATATTTGGACAAAGTTGAGAGCTCAGTCTCCCCTTAATGAGGGGTAAAAGGTTAAAAAAAACAAGCTATACAGTAGGAGAACAAAAGCAACAGAAATTCCATGTGATTGGGTAAAGAGAATTTCTGCTGAATGTTACCTTCTGTAGGGAGGTCTTTGTAATCCTCTGGATACAGTTGGAGTGAAGCCTGAAAGCACAAATTCTGCTTTGAACTCACTGAATGTGCCTATTAAATAGCATATCAGAATAACAGATATGATAATGTTACTGTTTAGATTTTAAAGGCAAGAAATCACATAATAATGATTTTGAAATAACCACTGAAATAATGAATTATATTAATGACTAAAAAAAAAGTAATAGAATCTTGAGAAAAGGGAACTAATCCCAGAAGTTCCAGAAATGAAGGCACAGATCACAAGGACGGCGTATAATCATCTGCTGGTGTGTCTGAACTTTGACCAGGAATTGTCAGAAAAAGTGAAAAATATACTCAATTAACTTTTTATAATATTTTTAATATTTCTGCTAAAATCAGCTACACAGCAAATTTGGAAGAAATTTAGCTTTTAAAACCACCTGTGGTAAAACCACCTGTGAAACGTATGCCACAGGACATGGAGAGGTGCTGACTGAGTTCTAAAATTTGTCCTCTTGTGACAAAGGACTGAGGCAAAGAGCACTTAGGTAATTTCATGGGCAGCAGAGGAGGGTACATCCCGGAGTTCTCTTCTGGTGCATAAATATTTTGTGGGCCCTAGCTAACTTGGTGTTACTCAAAAATTTTCTGAACATTTCAGAGACTTTAACAGCTCTGATGCATTCAAACGTAAGCAGAACACAGCTATAGATTGGCAAAGCGGAGCAGAAGATGCAGCTGATGGTAATCATGGAGACTGGTCAGTGGCTAACTGTGATTCAAATAATTAAACAGAAAGCACAGTCATTGAGAACCATTCAGAGTATTGAGTTTGAACATCACATGAAGAAGAAGAAAATTATTACCGAGTTATATGCTACAGAATACAAACCCAAGCACTTTCTGTAAAGGAAACAACTGAATTTCAGTCATCCTAGACAATAAGTTAATAACTGGAAAAAAAATCAACAACTACTGCATATTGGACTCTTCAGAACTATTTCCAAAACAACTGCAGAAGACTCTTCAAATGAATACACCATAGTATTCCCAACCCTACTTTAAATTTCTATTTAACTCTTTGGTTTTAGGTAGGAAGTAACCCTTCAGTGAACACACAGTATAAAATAGTTACTCAGACTTTCAGCTACAGGATGTAACCTGCAATCGTATAAGTATTTAATAGAGTCCTATTTAGAGATGGATCAGACTTGTTGCTTTCTACCACTTCTGCAAAAGACCACAGGAACTAAGACAAAAATTCAAAGACTTGAGTTCTTTATAACTCTGTAAAAAAACATACCAAGTATTTTCTGCAAGATGATTCACTTCCTCTGTGTTTTAAGATACAGTTTGGATGCACACCTCCATTTTTGCAAAAGCCTCGTAAAATATACACAAATGCACTGTGGTGTTTATAACTCCATTAAACCAAATAAACAACACTAAATTTCACATTTCTTACTAAGATTCTTTGGCAAAGGTAGACCTAAAAGTCTAAAGATCATTATGTCATCAATCAATAGAGTGCTAAGAAAAATCATTGTGTTCACAAGCGTGGAATGCCAAATATTAATGACATAATGAGTTTTAAATAATTTCTAACATTATCTTAAACACTGACATTTTCATTAGCCATTGTTTTATGTGGAACTATTAATAGAATATCAAGTGTAGGTTGGTGACTTACATTCACAACTATTATAAAAGATTATATGATGATGAAATCTAAATGACCCTACACAATAGGAAATGCTCAAGATGATTTGGGTTTTTTTTAGGAGGAAAAGTAAAAGGCACTTGTGATGGAAATGTACATTGTTAATTTCTGACAATATTACACTCAGTGCAAACACATAATTCTGGCTCCACTACAAACAATCCTGTGCATGACGTACAAAAATTGATATGTCTCTATATTCAACCAATTAAGATGTTTCTGGAAAACAAATAAATATCTCTACATGCTACACAATAATGAGATGAACTTTGTTTTTCTCAATGCTAAAAATACAGACCAGTTCAGCCTTTCATTTTCTTTCATGCCTCACTTGTAAAAAGTCATATCAAAACCATAAGTATAGAGCAGTTTGGATGCTTATGAATGAATGGTACAAGTGACATGAGTTTATCTGCACATTATTATTCTGAAGAAAGATTAATGGTCTTCTGCAAAGTTTCTGAATAAATTTACTTCTCAGAAGCATGCCTTTAATGGTTCCATGGTTTAACTGTTTATTTTGAAAACAGAGAATCATTTATCACTCAAGAACATAATAACTGGTTCAGAGATTCTCCACTGAAGTGCTGACCTAGTACACTTTCTGTATTGCATTACACAGAGGTTATAGTGTTACTCTGTGTTCACCTGTTCTCAGAACTTTAACAGAAGGCAGCTCATACTCTTGATATACATGGCAAAACCATTGTTGAAAACCGGGTATTTTTCAAATAAAGCATTACAGTTTAAGATAACACAAACTAAACTGATTAAGCATTATGAAATATTCTATCATTAAACTGCATACAGAAGAACACAGTAGGTATTTTCCAGTTTGTTTCAAAACCTTAAAATATTAACATCAGCAACAAAAACCCAAGCAAGAAGGATGTTTTACTTTTTAATTAAGATGCATTAACTTTTCTATAGCTATTTTGCATTATATGATATATTATATATATATATTTATTTCTACTCCTCACTGGAAAATTATTGAGTGTGATAACACAAAGGATTTGTAAAAAAAAAAAGGAACTGTCTTATCCCAAGGTAAAAAGAGTTCTGAAGAACTCTTACAGGCACCTATCAAGTATACGACTCTTTCATTTTTGTGGCATTTCAAATTAACCCAAAAGTTTTTTTAAAGAATACTTCATCCTTTAACATACTCTCCCTTTTAATAATGAATAATACAATACTGAAATATCAAGTCAACTAAGATAAAGCTTTAACTTTATGTTAGTCTTTTTACTGAATTTAGTGAGACATTTAATTTTCTCCTGTGCAACAAAAATTTATTCATGTGTAAAAGTCTAAAGATCTGGGAATGTAGTAAGAAAAGAAGAAGAAGAAGGAAAAAAAAGTAAAAGATGAGAAAGTGTGACTAAGCTAGGACACGGTGCCACACAAGGTCTGAGTTAGATGTGGCTGAGTTAATTACCCAGCAGCCACATGTAATACTTGGTCTTAAAATCTGCAGGGAGAGAATTTGGTGGCAGGGATGCAGTAAGCAAGGGAAGGAAGAATAGTCTGAGCATTCAGGGTCTAATTGCTGTGTTCTTAGGTTAAGAACCCTTTAAGGCAGAAATTATCTTTGAATGGATAGTTGTGTAGTCTCAGTGATAGAATTTTTGGGTGATTATAAAGCTCCAATAGCAATAGTAAAAGTAATAAAGCTAGAGAACAGTTTTAAATATCACCTCTTTAAGTTAATTCTAATTTAGTCTGATTAAAAGTCAGAAATAGTAATAGCAATAACAATAGCAATAGCAACAGTAATAGTAATCGTAATAGCCGTGTTACTTACAGTATAACTCTATCCTTATGAAATCTTGAATTCCCAGGTTTTCTAAAAAAACTCCTGAGGAAGCAGTAGTTTTAAAGAAAAATGAGACATCTGCACTGAGCTCTCCATGGAAGGTGGGGAAATGCAGGTACGATGTCTCTGTGTTGAAGGATGCTGAATTCCAAAATGTTCCTGGTTATCAAAATGAAAGATTAAATGACAGATAAACAGTGTTATCTAATATCACCAGTATAAGTTTTATAACCAATTAAAGAAAATAAAGTGCCCAGGTGTAGGAAGGGGTTACATTATTCAGAGAGTCTATCTTCCACAGAAGCCTCCTGCTTAGTTTATAAAAGAAAAAGTGGAAAGTGGTAGTTACTGGAGACACAGAAAAATGATTCAGCAAGAATAACTACTTTATTTAGTTCAGGCAACCAAATAAAAGCAATTAATAGGAAATAAAATACCTGGCATTTCAGCTAGCCAGTCCAGTTATGGCATGATGTATCCTTTTATGAAATAAACGTAGGAGTTTTGAATTATGTACTATACATCCATTAGCTAGTATACACTATAACTGTGACAGTGGTTTCGTATATTTCTCATGTAACAAGGAAAAGACCCTTGTTATTGTTTTACCAGATAACAACAAAGAAGGTGGGATACAACTCCTAGTAATTACTGTAGAAGGAATGATAAAAAAAATCTTATTTAGTTGTCTGCAGCTCAGAAATTCATATGAATTCTTACTTATATGATAAATCCAATGTAAATCATTTTTATTTACAAAAAGGTTACAAGATCAAGCAGATATTTCCTGGTTGGATTTTTCTTTTAGCTGGCATTTAATCATAATTTGTTAGGTTTCATTCTTGATTATTAAGAAGTTTATGGAAAAATCCTCTTCTAATAAGAACATAATCTACATTTATGGTGTTCAACTAGAAGTACCTTGTTATTATTGTTGAATTCTTACAGTATTTCTTTATTAAACTATATTGCTTTCTAAATCAAATAAGGTATTCAGTATCTTCCTGTCTAACTGAAAGGTCATTGCACGTTCTCCTGATAATGTTGTGATCTGGGCCTAAGTACTATACAAAATTGTGGTTTCTGCTGCAGGCACTCTCTGGTTTTAGTGTGGGGAGAAATTAATTGTACTTTTTTTTAAGTTTCTCTCTGATCTGTAAAATCAAAATCTGTGATACAGTGTGACACAAAGGCCTGGTTCACAGATAAGTGAAGTAAAATCAAAGCCCATTCACTAGTTCCTCCTTAAGTTTTAGTAGGGTTTTAATCAGAGTTCAGGTCCCACACCTAGAAAAAGCAGCTTGGCTGGTTGTTCATGCGTATTCTGGCAATTTCTTGCCGTGACACTCAGCACTTGGGAGTACTGCCAGACATCACAAGTTAGACCAGCCATCAGGACAACTTCTACATGGTAGTGCAGAGCTGTGAACAGATCGCTTAGGCTAGGAGAGGAAAGTATAGCTTTGCACCTTCCTCTCTGTGCTGATGGGCTCCTTGGAGTCGTCATCCTGTGCAAAATGACATCAACTAAAGGCAGCAGCCTTACATATTGGGATCAATTTTAAGCCCATGTTCCTCAACTGTTTCAGGTCGTGGTTCCCACAGAGCAAAATTCACCACAGTTATGACTTAAGTATATAATGGCAATTTAAAAAACAAGCACAATAGGAAGTCTGATACTAGCTATTTATACAAAAATTGGTAAAACATTGCTAGTAGTTAGAAGAGAGATAATAGCAGCAGTAAGAGTCCAGTAGAGTAATGATACAGTTAGCTTCAATGAAGAATTTGAATGATCTTTGGGGAGGACAGGGATAGTAAGCTTTATTCTTTCTCTCTTAATATCAAACTAGCAAAAGTATATTACAAAGTATCTTTTCTTGTGATAAATCAGGGTGGGAAAATAATTTCTTCGATTTACAGTATCTGGCTCACAGTCTCTTATTTAGTATTCTGGAACTGTCAAATGCCATGTAGTTAATAAATCCATAATATTTAGCATTTTATCTGTTTGTAAGACAGCAGTCTTCCTATGGGCAAAAAAAAAAAAAAAAAAGAAAAGAAAAAAAAGGAGAAAGAAAAAGATCCTCATTGTTGTAAATAAAACAGCAGAATATTTATATTTGCAAAAGTTACTTTCATTTTTGGCATATAGCAGCTAGTTTTACCAACTTCAAACTCTGAAGTGAAAGAGAAACAAGTGAGAACAAGACAGGTAAATTAACCATTTTGATGTTGCAAACATAATAAAAGAAACTCTCAAAACAATTGTTTTTCTGCAATTTCAAATTTTATCAGTCTTCAAGTTTTTAATCAAAACTGAAATTTATTTATTACTTGCATCAATTCCTCTTGATATGTATAAATGTTGCAGCATCATTCTTTCAGTGTGAAACTCCAGCAGGGACAGTGAGTGTTGAAGCAGAGAAAATGAAGTTAAGTTGCCAAAAAATATTTTGTGTATATAATTTTTTTATTACTGTCCCCTTTCCCCCAAACAGAAAAATCTCAAATTGACATGTGTCCTGGGTTCAGCTCTAGCAGTCACTTTTTCTTCTTCTTAGTAGCTGGTGCAGTGCTGTGTTTTTGACTTTCAGTCTGGGAACAACACTGATAACACCGATGTTTTCAGTTGTTGCTAAGTAATGTTTACTCTGACCAAGGACTTTTCTCAGTCTCATGCTCTGCCAGGGAGGAGGGGAAGCCGGGAGGAAGCAGAGACAGGACACCTGACCCAAACTGGCCAAGGGGATATTCCGTAGAACAGCACGTCATGCCCAGTATATAAACTGGGGAGAGTTACCCGGAAGGCCCAGATTGCTGCTTGGGTCAGGCTGGGTATCGGTCAGCATGTGGTGAACAATTGTATTCTCTCTCCTTGCTACTTCCCTTATCATTATTATTATTAGTGGTAGCAATAGTGGTTTTGTACTATACCTCAGTTACTGCACTGTTCTTATCTCAAGCTGTGGGAGTTACATTCTTTCGATTCTCCTCCCCATCCTTCTGGGAGCAGGGGGAGGAAGGTGGAGAGGAGTGAGCGAGCAGCTGTGTGGTTCTGAGTTACCAGCTGGGCTTAAACCACGACAACGCAACACATAAAATACTACACAGCTCTTATAGATTGATATAACTAAGGAACACTGCTGTTAATCTGGAGGTGCTTGTTGTGTTTTAAAAACAGTTGTAGTGTTTGTAAAGATAACATTCAATGTACCTTCCATCTTTTCCATATTCTCCCTCTTAGAGGGATTTTGTGAAATACTTAAAAAGTACTGAAAGAGCACACAGCAGCGTGTGTTCTTCTTTCTAGGAGCAGCTTCTGTTCTCTAGTACATCAACAGGGCCTTTGAATTTCACTAGAATGTCACTGTGATCTGATTATAAGTGCACAGCAGTAGTAATGTAAAAGGTTAATACTGTAGAAAGCATGCTCATTGTAAATTGCAGATGCCGTTAGCCTGTCTGATCTACACTACTGGGTTATCTGATCTAGACTAGCAGTGGATGCTCGGGATTTTCCCTGTTATCTTTAATCTCCTCCTACCTACTTGGTGTCTTAAACTGATCTTTAAATTACGTGGTCATTTATTACTTGTATCCTAATGGTTTTTGCTGATTAGTTGGTTGGTTTGGTATTTAATTGTGTTTAGGAGGGTGTGTAATGGGGAGTGTGTGCCTTACTATACTCCTGTGCAAAACCAAGTAGGAAAATCACCACTACCTATTACATGTCAGTTTTATGACATGAAAATTTCCTTTTCTAGAATGCAGCAGAGAGAAGGCCAAAATTACTGAGAGGCACACAAGTTACTTCTTCTAAAACTATGCTGCTAATGTTATGAAGTCTGACCATCTGGCAACTCATTGCCTCTGAGAATGTGTAGAGTTCAGCTGCCTTACCTGTATCACTCCTTCCAGCTACAACAACACAACTTCCAGCTACGTTGCTTATTATAGGATTCATAGATTAAAAGACCAGAAGGGAAAACTGCTATCATCTGATTAGACCTCTGATATGCTATACAATATATAAATTCCCTGATTTAATTGATGTTTGTAAAAGAGTATGTATTCTAGAAAGCAAATAATAAATCAATTCAATTTAAATTTATCTATTTATGGAAAGTTTACAAATGCTTTTACTATCAATTTTTATGTGTATTTATGTCCACACATACACTCAGCCCACTGTCCCAACTTCAAATCGTAACCAATGGATCTTTTTCTGAGTTTCTCTCCTGCTTTCAAGAGCTTTATTTGAAAGTCCTTGCTCTGTGGAACTCCATTTAAGTTGAGCATATCGTCTCAGATTTTGCCTGAATTAAGCAGAGATACTTAGCTTGAGAGGCCTTCAGTAAAAAATACATCTCAACTTCTTTAAAACAATCCTTAGATCTTACAACTTTTTTGTATAGTGTAAAAGTCACTATAGATTTGTGTTAAACTTCGTGATTATGCAGGAAATAGTAAAGAGGATCAAAATAATGTTGATTACACTGAGGTTAGAACAAAAATAGATTAATATTATACACCTAAGTAAGAGGAAGCAAAATTATTATTTCCAAAGCTAAATTATTACACCCAAAGCTCACACTAGTTTTTTTGATTTAAATGTTGAACTGGGAATTCACATTGAAAGGATTATCTGCTCTCATTTATCTGTTTGTACTGATATTGTGCAGTTGAATTTGTACATTTCCTCCCCTCCCCTTTTTCTTCTCTTTTTATTCAACCAAGTATGTGACACTCCTCCAAATATCTTACTAGATTCCACCCTCTCAGTTTGCCTTTACCAAGTCCCTCAAAAGTTTGGCCAAATTTACTGTAAATAAACTCATATTAAAATATATATTATCTTTATATTGCATTACCCTATCCTTATATCAAGTTTCATTCAATTAAAATCTGCACCATCAATTTTATTTTTGGGCCAAGAATCAGTCTGATGTTGACAGATTATAATTAGCCACTGATCACACATAATTTTGCCACATTAGCTTTGTGGATATTTCTGTATGTCCTAACAGTTATTAGAAATCCATTGTAATGAATTGGAGTATTTCCAGTCAGTTCTTGCAATGAAAAAACTAACAAAAAAAACACTTGAATGGTGTGGGTTTTTTAAAAATCTACTCATACTAACTGAATCTCTTTATTGCACTTTATCAACATGTAGCTTTTTTCTTGAATAATATAAAAAATAATGGAGATTTCTCTTTTTTTTTTTTTTTTAACCATAGTATATCTTTCTATTAGTGCTCCCAAGTTTCTTTTGACCTTTTATGCTTCAAAGTCTTTCCTACTACCCTATTCAGCTGGTATAGGTCAATTTTATTCTTAACTTTCACTATAATTGGATATATTTTTCAATCTGATACCAGCAGTGTTGGCATACAATTTATTAGAATTTTGTATTGTTCAGCAGAAAAGGAAAATATATTTTAAACATTATAGAAACAGGTAAATGCTACTCACATGTGTAGAGACAAATGTCACCAAACACTATGACCTAATTTCTCTAAATGGCCATATTCCTCTAGAATATTTTTACTTTCATTCACCTTGGCATCTTAGAAATAAAGATATATAACTATCACAGATGCTGAGAAAACTTATTGATATCATAGAATCATAGAACGGTTTGGGTTGGAAAGGACTTTAAGATCACCTAGTTCCAACCCCCCTGCCACAGGGAGGGACACTCTTCACTAGCCCAAACTGGTCCAACCCCCATCCAGCCTGGCCTTAAACACTTCCAGGGATGGAGCAGCCACAGTTTCCCTGGGCAACCTGTGCCAGGGCCTCACCACCCTCACAGTCAAGAACTTCTTCCTAATATCTAATCTAGATCTCCCCTCTTTCATCTTAGAGTCATTACCCTTTGTCCTATCAGTACATGCCCTTGTATAAAAGTCCCTCTCCAGCTGTCTTGCAGGCCCTCTAGATCACTGGAAGGTTGCTATAAGGTCTCCCAGGAGCCTCCTCTTCTCCAGGTTGAAAAAGCCCAACTCTTTCAGCCTGTCCTCATAGAAGAGGTGCTCCAGCATTCTGACACTCTTTGTAGCCCTCCTCTGGACTTGCTCAAATGGGTCCATATCCATATCTGAATGAAACTTCATACATAAAAAAAACCCTGTACTGGTATTGTTTTGCTATTATTTTTCTTTTGTTAGGTTACTCTTTCCTGCTCTGTTCTAGCAAATACAGTTAGGTTTTATAAAAGCAACACACTTCATTGAAGAGTCAATCCATAAAACCTAACAAAAAGAAACAAGTTCAGAAATGCAATGTTAAATAAAACAGTCAAAAAATGTGCAATGAAGAATAGGCAACTTCTCCTGGATTACAATGATACATGACTTCTTAGAAGTACCTACTGAAGTAACTCTGACTCGGAAACTTAGCCAACAGTGGTTTACGACAATTCACTTCAAAAAACTACTTATGAATCTACTTGATTTTGTTGTGGGCATAAACAACTATTTTAATCTCTAAATAGATTTCCTACAATGACTAGATTATTGCTGCATTTAGAATTTGTGATCTTTTAGTTTTGAATCATTTAATGAAGTCTAAGTGTATCACAAATACAAGTATCCTGGGTTCAGCTATAGCAGTCATTTTTTCTCCTTCTTAGTAGCTGGTGAAGTGCTGTGGTTTTGACTTTCAGTCTGGGAACAACGCTGATAACACCGATGTTTTTAGTTGTTGCTAAGTAATGTTTACTCTGACCAAGGACTTTCTCAGTCTCATGCTCTGCCAGGGAGGAGGGGAAGCCGGGAGGAAGCAGAGACAGGACACCTAACCCAAACTGGCCAAAGGAGTATTCCATACCATAGCGCCTCATGCCCAGTATAGAAACTGGGGGGAGTTACCTGGAAGGCCCAGATCGCTGCTCGGGTTGGGCTGGGTATCAGTCGGCGGGTGGTGAGCGGTTGTGTCCTCTCCCCTTGTTATTCCTCTTATCATTATTATTGGTAGCAGTAGTGGTTTGTATTATACCTTAGTTACTGGAGTGCTGTTATCTCAACCCGTGGGAGTTACATTCTTCTGATTCTCCTCCCCATCCCTCTGGGAGTGGGGGGAGGAAGGAAAAGTGGGTGAGTGAACGAGCGGCTGCGTGGTTCCAAGTTGCCGGCTGGGCTTAAACCACGACAACAAGTAAACCTTCTCCCATACTTTTTCATATGGTATGCCAGTGAGTTATTCAGAAGAACTTATGTCTTCCAGAAAGGATAAAAAAAGTGCTTAATAAAAGAATATACTCTCGGAAGTAGAATGGTATAATTTAGTTTGAGAGAATGAGAGAAGCAGAAATAAGCAATAATCTCTCTGGAGAGTTATCACATCACACTTGTGAATCCAAAAAGATAGCTTTTTATTTGCTTGACAGCAATTCTGAGAAATGGCTATTTTCTACTAGATCTCTTTTGTGTTCTTCACCTATCCAAAGGTGCAGAAGAAAATAAACATTATTAAAAGTGAATTTAATTAGACCTTTGTGGTTATCTCCAATCACAGATTAGAAAAAAATCTTAATAAATGTCTGCTTCTTTCCTGAAATTTCAAAGCTCTTCAACATTCAGACTCTGAGTTCTTGTGCTTGTACTCGTGACATTTTAGAGTTCTCTATTGCAGCTTGTCTAGAAATACAGTGATCATTCAACATCAGTGAGAAATTTTGTCACAATTCAATCACTCAGAAGAAGGAAACATCAAATAAAGGCAGGGAGGCCAATGAGTGTTAGAGCTGTCTGCATGTTTTAATGATTCACTCGGGGAAGCTATTTGGCTTTCACTTTTTAAGGTTTGTGATAATTGGGGTCAGGTTATGTAATTAATTATACTTGAGAACTTGGAGAATAGTGAAATTGAATTTTTTTCCACTTATTAGTACTACAGAAGCTTCAGATACTTTTTCATCATTGACATTATCCCTGGTTTCATTACCCTTTGCCACAATGCAGGCCTGATGCATCATAGGCTCTGTGAGCATGGGCAGTCCGTTGAAAGAGATGGTTATCCCCCTTTACTCAACATTTCTAGACAACATCTACACACTACCTCCAGTTTTAGAGACTACAGTACAGGAAAAACATTGATAAACCGGAATGAGTATGGGTGAGGCCACCAGGATGTTCAGGTCTGAAGCACTTTTCCCAACTTTCAGGCTGAGGAACCTGGGCTGGTTCAACCTGGATGAGGGATAGCTTTGTGGGGGACATGACAGTAGCCTCTAAAGCCTAAGGTAAAATTATCAAAAAGATGGAGCCATGCTCTCTGCACTGGCATAAGGTGTGAGTATCAAAAAATGGGTATAAGTTGAAACAACAGTATTTCAGGCTTAATCTTAGTAAAAGAAATTCTCTACGACACACAAGAAGTGGATCAGGCTGCCAGGAGACGCAGTGTAGGCTGCATCCTTGTGGGCTTCAAGCTCCAATTTGACAAAGCCCTGAGAGACCTAGTCTGAGCTCATGGCTGATCCTGCTCTAAGTAGTAGACCACATTAGGTCCTTTCCACTCTCAATTATAACATAATCCTATATCATAACCCTATGATTGAACAGTTCTTTGGTAGGTAGGATAAATCATGAGCTCACAATCGGATGTCAGACAAATGATAAGGAAGCACCCAACAGGGTATTTTTTATGTCTTATAAATTTTTATAACAAGATTAGAATGCACTGCTGTAAGGCACATCTGTTAACAAGTCTTCCAGGCATAATTTCCCTGAAAAGCCGCAGGAATTAAAGCAGAGATGGCATAAAAATAAATACATGCTAATTTATATTTATTTATCCAGTCTCCTGAATGAATCTAAAAGTATAGGTATTTTTACTGGAATTCATTTCCTGTTACTCATAAAGGCTGAAGAAATTTGCAAATCAAACACATCATATTACTAAGAAGAAAAATCACATAATGAATTAAAATAGATGTTACAGCAGCAATAGAATTTTGTGGAATAATTTACTATTGAACACAAGCCAAAATCTGTTTCTTTTGCGGATAAAAATAGAAAATAATGAAATCATAAATGTCATTGCAAATATTCACTAAGGTATCAGTTTTGTTCCATTTGTCTCATTACCTTATGTCTTTTCTTCACACATAATATTTTTCTGGTTACTATATACAGGATATATAAGCTTTATGATTTGAGTTACTGTATAACTTCCTAAATTTTAAATTATTATGTGGAGTTGAAATTTTACTCCTAAGTATTGCATATACTGGATTCATCTCCTGTAATATAGTTGGATTAATCTCCCATAGTATGTTTTCATAGTTGTGCAAACATTCAGAGGTGTTAATATGTATAAGGTTTGGTGATGGAAGCATACATATCTAGTGAAAGGTATGTTCCCAAGATACGTTAATCAGTTACGAATTCCCCTTCATGCAATGCTTTGTTGATAACTTAATTCAAATTGTATAAACACACTGTACTCAAAATAGCTGTTTGAAATTATGCAATTTCTGCCTTTAATATTGATACTTATCATAGGTAATACATCTCTAAAATTCTACTCTGGTTTGCACTAGATCATGGTGTTTTGTCTTTTTCCTTTCTAATTACTAAAGGAACTGGATGAAATCTTTACAAAAATGTATCTTAGGCTGCTTTTCAAACAACATTTAAAATTATTGCAATCAAAACCCATTGGTTAGCAAAATTCTGCAGTTATTACTTACTGTCACCACGGCAAAGCAAAGGCCCCAGTTTGTAAGCTGCTTCAGAGTTTGGTCTGTCAGTATCTGTGATCACAATTTCAGTTACTGGTAGATGATCTTTGTAGGAAAGGAATCCAGTATCATTAGTCCTGAAAAGTAAAAGAAAGCTGTATCTCCTAAATGTTTCTGACAAATGTGTCATTCTTAACACATTGCTGGGGAAAAGAATCAAATTCTGACAAAAGTGCTGCATCACTCTCAAGGCAATACAAGAAGCTGTGAATACAAACCTATGCTTTGATATTGATATTGTGATCATTTGCCTGAGCAAATTAATGCTAAGTGGGTATATTTTTGGTTGTACTTGTTTGCATAAGCATGAGAGAACTCTTTTTGACATAAATGGGTACCTGACTGGCTGCCCAAGCTAATGAAGTTACCTAGGTCAGTGATTTTATGTTGCTGAGGACATACTGTGTCTATAACTGGAATTTCTTCATTATGGAATAGCAAATGGCTTACTACAACTTTTAAATAAGTCTAAGTGTGGGGTTTGTTTTCTTTTCTTCTTTCACTTTGACAAAACTTAAAAAAAAAAAGAAAAGAAAATTGCAAAGTCATGCTTAGTGTACAGGAAAAGCAGCATATGCTATAAATATGTAACTATTAGGAAAGGAAATATACAATATAGCACTCAGAGCATGCATACAGTACTTGTAATCTTAGACCAAATTCCTTGTTGAACATCTCTGTCAACTTAGCATCAGAACAAAATGTAAAAAATTCATAAGCACCAGTTTTGGCCCTAAACTTGCTTCTTCTCCTGAAGGCCTGGAAATATTCAATCACTCAGGACCATTCTGGAAAACTAAATTTGCCCATTCAATCCATTTATAGTTGAATCTTCCTTTTAATGGGCAAAGACAGAGATAACAGAACAAACTCAGAGAGGGGAGTCAATCTGGAACTCACACTGCTCAGAGATTAAACACAAGACACACAACTCAACAAGCAAGCCACCACGTTTCTCTGGGAATGCAGTTAGGCTTAGCAAGCCCCTTTCTGAGTATACTGTGCACTATGGACTGAAACAACATGAAGAGATTCTATCCTTGTGCAGAATGAAATGAGAGATTTGCCCCTACACGTCCTTCCTCTTTTTGCTAACATGTTTCCACTGCTTACAATTTCTGTTTATGTGTCTTGGAGCACAGTGAAAACATGTACATTCTTTTTCCATGAAACTTTTTTTCTTTAGTGAGAATTGTAAAACATTTTTTTTAAATTATAAAATCTGATGATATGAGATATTGCAGATTTCTAATTTTAAACTGAAAAAACCCTCAAAACACTGAAGAAAACATAGTAAAACTATGCTGCAAATTTTTAAGGTAATACACTCATCAAAATGTCTTCACTTTAGACAGTCAGAGTGTTTACAGTGAAGACATGCATATCATCCTCAATATAATTTATTTACAAGTATGTTACCATTATAAATTAACCTATGTATGTGAGCATGGATTAAATGAATGACAAAACTGAGCAAAAATGTCTTACATATATAACAAATAACTACTCAAAATCTTCTCTTAAAATGAGTTAATCTTTTAACACTTATTTTACTGTTGTGAATCAAAAATTGTAGTTTTGTACAGCATAATGATAAGGAAATTCTTATTCTTCTGTATATTTGTTTAATTTCTTTGTTGGAATAACAGCAGATATCACTCTGTGTGTTTTACTGCATATGCAAACCCTTTATTGAAGCTTGTGAAGAATTGTTCTTTAACTCTGCTGTATTTTCATTTCTGTATCTGTGTTCCCTGCTCATGATGAGACAATAAACATCTTCCAAAAATATTCACTAGTAGTTCCTTTAAAGGAAGTGGGGGGATACATAACTTTAGGAGAAAATAATGTTTTGCTTCATTTTGTACACACGAATATGTTCCTAAGTACCTTCCTTGTATTTTTTTAATTTTTAAAAAACAGATGTTGATACATTTATTGACATGCTTATATTAACGTAGTAACTGATTCTGATCTATATAAGCTAAATATTGTTTACAAGTTTAAAAGGTTAAAAGTTTCTTCAGTAGAAAAGCTTTCATTTAGAAAGTCCTTTCCTGCCTATACTGTACTGGAGGTATCGTTGAGAAAGTTGTATCTGATCCCCTTAATTGAAAAGTCAGGGTTAGATTTGACATTGTAACAGGAACTCATCTCTTACAATACGTCTTACAGTACTTATTCCAATGGGATCATAAATAATGTCATCATAAATAATGTCATCATAATGGGATCATAAATAATGTCAGAGAATTTCAAGTACAAGTGGAAGATCTACATTTTAGAAATCCTTCCATCCCCTTAGAATAGGATTCCGTATGAGTTGTTTCCTTTGCTGAGACTGAGGGTGTCCAATATTAATTACCTAAGTTGTAGATGACAAAAAAAAGCTAAAAAGTCTAAACTTAAACATATAATTAAAAATTACATGAAAAATTTACTTTTTCCTCTTTAATGATTTTCAGTATTCTAAAACTAATAACTGAAGTTGTACTAAAGACAAGAGTTAATGTCTTAATATATATCATGCAATATACTGAAAAACTAGAAAGTATCTGTATTAAAACAAACCCTTCCCAGAATTCGTAGTGAAAAAATTAGCAATAATACTTAATGCATATAGAATCATAGAATCAGCTAGTCTGAAAGACCTTTAAGATCTGTTTTCTGTACCAAAGAAACAGGTGGCCCTATCATATTTTAAATTTACATCAGCCTTGGTGTTCTAAATGTGCTAAGTCCTGTATATTTTCTCTATTTGCTTTCCAGGGAAAATACTGTGAATAAACAACAGTAAAAAGTCACCATTCATCTCTGTCTGCATCACAGTTGCAGTAATGCTGTGAATCGATACAGTTCCCTTCTAATCCACAAGCACACTTTTGTACAGCTGGCAAGGATCCTCCCCAGTAAGTCTGTGTTTCATTGGTTCTTCCAATCCACCAGCTCAGTGGCATGCCACCTAAAAGGTAGGTTAGAGAAAATCAGTGACTAGTCTTGTCTACTTCCTCCAGCTTTTCTCATCCAAGAAAGTTTTCAAAAGGTTAAGCAGAGTGGGGAAAAAAAATAAATCAATACATTTACTTGATAATTACTCATTTTAATACTTCATTATTAGGTATTAAATGATTATCACAGCTTTTTTCTTGCATTAGTGGAAAAGTGAACTCACAGTCCCTAGCTCAGCCAGCCATGGTATTAGAATCATTTATCTTAAGCAGTCCATTTATATAATTAATTTTGAAATGGTCCATGAAAGAGGAGATACCATCACCCTAAGAATCAGGGTAGTTTATATTCCTCAGTAGTATCAATTTCAGATCATGGAACTACCAGCAATAAAATGAGAAGAGTGACAGAAAAGCTGTGCAGAAATTGTCTCATCCCACTACCAAGAGTACTACAGAGTACTACTACGTTTATCTGTGATGAATGTTGAGCAGCTGAATAGTGGTGTTAATCAGAAATGCCCAATGACAGCTGTTAGGTCACAGGCAGCAGATTCAGAATTTATATATTTAGCAGCAGAAATCATGATAATCAGGTGCTTCCATAAGCAAAATGGTGAGCAGAAGTGAGTTTTCCCAGGACTATTACATCTCTGTGTGGTGCATCCAATCAACATTATTTGAAGCATGATAAAATTGGATGTTTTCTTAATATTCCAATACTGCAGATTAAGCTTAAAGATGTTGCCAAGCAAGCATAGCACAGGAAATATATCCTGAACAGATAATAGCTAAAAGATCTAAAGCATAAATATAAACCACCTCAAATGAGAAGGAAGAAGGGTAATAGATGCAATGTCTGAACATCAAAGCATGAGAAGAAATCAAGTAGTGATGAATTACTGAATTTCTTATAGATGTACTTCTTTTTGCTGTTGTTGGACCTCCAAGTATTCAGTAACAGGCCCCCACGAAGAAGTTGGAATTAATCCTAGTCTCAGCTTTACTTATATCTGCCACTGTTTATTAAACCTCACTGTTAGGAAAGACCTCTGTTACACTGACAGTCTCTGAGTTCATAAACATATTGACTGCATTCATTGCCACACAACTGTCAGCACAGCAGGCCAAACACCAGTGCAAGCGGTTTCTCAAACTTGCATAATGGCATCAATGTCCAATATCAGTGTTTGCAAGCCATCACAGAAGGAAGAAAACCTAGAGAATGTTTATAAATAATTTATCAGACAACACTTTAAAAAGCTTCCAACAACTAAGACTGTAAAAAGCAGAGTATTTCTGCTGTTTCAACAGCATTCTTTAGGTTTATATTGTAGTTAGAATTAATATTCCCAGTTTTTCAGTAGGGACATCGAGGTATCTTTAAAAGATGGTCTCCGTTATGTGTTCATATAGCAGGGTGAAGAGACAGTATTTACTGAAATGCTGCAAGTTCATACTGATTAGCCCAGATTGTTTTCCTTGTTTTGGCAGAAAATATTGCCTAAGCAAAATGAAGCTTCTTATTAAAATGTCTAGAGATTTCTTCATAATGATCACATAAATGTATTAGCAGGTGACTTCTTTAATTATATTGTTTGCAAATGCTATACAGGCTGATTGAATATAATGTATTCTTAAAATATAATCAGTTAAGAATTCCTTCATGACTGCATGTTCCAAAAAATATTTTATATGACCATCATCAAATTTTGTACTTGTCAAACATAGCTAGTGATATAGACAGCAGCAGTGGGAGGGATTAAACTGTTCAGGCAATTTGATAATGTACCTATTTGCATTTCAAATTCTGCTATCTCATTGTGCTTATAATAAATGAAACAGAACAAACTTATGTCAGTAAAATGTTATTTGAATTTCATTTCAATGTCAGGTAATGCTTCAATTATCAGCTATGTTTGACTGCTTTTTGTTTGGTTTGTAATTCTGACTAAAAATAGTTCAAAGAAACATGCATAAAAATCAGCAAGAAAATACATAAATGTGATATTAAACAGGAAAACTTGGTGAAGACTATCTTCATAGTCTGCACTATGAATAGATGAAATAGCAACTGATTTAGCAAGGGAAAATTTCAAATTAGATAGCTTTACCTTCCTAAACTTCTTTTAAATTTTTTAATGCATTTCTGTTCAAAAGAGAATACTTACCTAGCCTTCTGAGCTCTTTTAAATAGTCAGAGCGTCATATAAAATTTAATTATAATTCACACAGACAACTGCAATTTTCTTTCAAAAAATTTTAGTAAAACTTCTTAAGTTTATGGTTCTATTGAGACATGGAAAAGTAGAATTCATACTTGCTAAAGCAGTCTGGAAATCATATGTTTCACATAAAAATAGGTAATAAATCTATTTCCAAAGCTCTCAAAAATATAGAACAGTTTCAAATCCAAAATTGCTGCTCTTCAGAGGATTATGTTTTCTCTTATCTCTATACTTTTCAGTTGAAAGATACATCTTGAAGAAAAAAGACATGAAAACAAGGGAGTGTGCCAAATTCCCCCCTTTTTATCCCAGCCCTCTGATATCCTGCAGAGAAAAGAAGCATTCCATGGGGTTGCATGAACTTTTCAAAAGATACTAGAATTTTCCTTTTCTGTGATATCAGCAAGTTTTCTGAAAGAAAAAAAAATGATAAATTGGAGGATATTTGAAAAATTTACTCTCACAGCCTCAGAGACAAAAGCCCAGGGCTTACATGTCATTGTATTCAAAGAATAAATATATTTGCCAGACTAAAACTATTTTGGCATATATTCACAACACGCTGACTGTTGTCAGTTTAGATGCATCCCAATTTTAAACAGGGCTTATCTAGGCATTGCCGGTTTTGCTTAAGAGTATATTGCTTGACTGCTTCTAAGACTGCAGAGATGTCTTTTAGAAAGCAGCACTGATGTGGCTAATTCTGTAAAGAGCTCTGCTTAACAGTGAGCTACATATCTGGTCTACACAATTTTAAGTGATTCCTCGGGTCTTCTTTGGCTACAACCTCTACAGTGATCACCATGCAAATATAACCCTAATCTTCCACCATTTATGAAATATTTTGGACTCCTATGTGCATCAAGACTTTGGAAGGAGTGGCTGATACTCCAGAGGGTCACAGTGCTGTCTAGAGGGACTTCGACAGGTTAAAGATAACTTGCTGACAGAAACCTCATGAAGTTCAACAAGGGGAATTGCAAAGATCTGCACCTGGAGAAGAAAAGCCACAGGCAGCAACATACACTGTGGGCCACCCAATTGGAAAGCAGCTTGGTTGAAGAGGACCTGGAGGTCTTGAAGGACACAAGGTTGACCATAAGCTGTCAATGTACCCCTGCTGCAAAGAAGTCTATTGTTATCCTGAACAGAATTAGGGGGTTGAGATGTTGTCAGCAGTTAGAAGGAGGTGATTCTTCCCCTCTGTTCAGCATAGGTGAGACCACACATGAAGAAGGCCACACATGGAGAATTGTGTCCAGTTCTGGGCTTCCCATTACAAAAGAAAGAAATACTGGAGACAGTCCATCAAATTGCCACAAAGATGATTAAAGGACTGATCTGTCCTGTGAGGAAAGGCTTGGAGAGCAGGAACAGTTCAGCCCAGAAAACAGGAGGTTTAGGGGGGTCTTATCAATGTATGTTAACAGATGAAGGGAGGGTGTAAAAATAATTGAAACAGAAAACGCTTGGGGAGGGTTCTCATCCATGTATATAAATGCCTGAAGGGAGTGTGTAAAGAAGGCTTTTTCCAGTTGTGCCCAGTGACAGGCAAGAGGCAATGGGCACAAACTGATGGGATGCTCTTCCTGAACATCAGGAAAAAACATTTTCACTGTGAGGGTGACTGAGCACTGGCACAGCTTGCTCAGAGAGATCTGTCCTTAGTAAGTCATCCACCATGGTCACTATCTTTGGACTAAAAGATGACAGATGTAAATCCTGGAATGTAAAAATCTGTTTGATTTTAAAGAAGTGATTTAATTAAGAATGTTACAAAATATAAGGCAAAGTTAATATATCCTCTAAACAGTTATAAGGTGTGGTTCTGGCTGCTTTTAAATGGAGAGGGAAACTTAAACCCTGACTGTCCTTAATAAGTGTTGTTTTTTCATCCCTGTATCACAAAACTCAGCTTTGACTGTTTTAAGTGGTCTTTCTGCAGAAATCAAGACTGACCGTCACTAGACCCTAGTTTTATCTCACCTCAGAGCTCCCTCAGAACAGACTAAGGCCCATTCTTCACAGGAATGGCAAGTTGCATTTGGTACAGCCTTTGGTAGTGTTTAAACAAAGAAGGATTTTAGAAAATCTATAAAACTCACAAATAACTTTCCTGTGCATATTCACTTCTGCAATTCAAACCTCTAAATTTTAGATGTCTCAGCACAATTGACCAGATGGACTCAGCATTTCTGTGCAATCTCACCGGATTACAAAAAAAAAATAAAAAGAAATAGAAAGTCCTGCTTGCCTGGGTGTCCTGGGTTCAGCTATAGCAGTCATTTTTTCTCCTTCTTAGTAGCTGGTGAAGTGCTGTGGTTTTGACTTTCAGTCTGGGAACAACGCTGATAACACCGATGTTTTTAGTTGTTGCTAAGTAATGTTTACTCTGACCAAGGACTTTCTCAGCCTCATGCTCTGCCAGAGAGGAGGGGAAGTCGGGAGGAAGCAGAGACAGGACACCTGACCCAAACTGGCCAAAGGGGTATTCCATACCACAGCACGTCATGCCCAGTATAGAAACTGGAGAGAGTTACCCGGAAGGCCCAGATCGCTGCTTGGGTGGGGTTGGGTATTGGTTGGTGGGTGGTGAGCGGTTGTGTCCTTTTCCCCTTGTTACTCCTCTTATCATTATTATTGGTAGCAGTAGTGGTTTGTATTATACCTTACATACTGGAGTGCTGTTATCTCAACCTGTGGGAGTTACATTCCTCCGATTCTCCTCCCCATCCCTCCGGGA